GCTAAACCGCAGAAGCCTGTGCTGCAGGGTCAGAAGACCAAGCAGTCGTAAGATCAAATCCACGTGACGGAGTGAGCACCCGTCACTTGTCCCAGCTCCCGCCAACCTAGCGGTTCAAAAGCATGTAAAATGCAAGTAGATCAATAGGGACCACTTCGGTGGGAAGGTAACAGCGTTCCGTGTCTAAGTCGCACTGGCCATGTGACCACGGAAGATTGTCTTCGGACAAACGCTGGCTCTATGGCTTGGAAACGGGGATGAGCACCGCCCCCTAGAGTCGAACACGACTGGACAAAAAAAAAATCTCAAGGGGAACCTTTACCTTTACCTTTTTAGTGTCATATTCAGTGTAATGAGCCTTCCTGGTACAGTGGGTCTCCCTCTTGTTCTGTCTACGACCTTGAGTCCTGGTGCCTTGAAAGCCAGCATACCCTGTTTCCCTGAAAATAAGCCCTAACCTGAAAATAAGCCCTAGTATGATTTTTCAGGATGCTTGTAATATAAGCCCTACCCCAAAAATAAGCCCCAGTTGAGTGAAACCCCACCTTTAATATAAGACCCTGTCTTATTTTCGGGGAAACACGGTAGTATATATTCAGTGAGTTTTGCTACTAATGTCTTGGCACAAACTAATGATAACTGATGCGCTTGTGCTGGCTGGCTTCTTCTCTGTTGTAAATCTGTTTGCTATCTTTTCCTTAGTTTTCTCAGTCACTTTTTTGGACTTCTTTTGGCAGCAATCTGTTAGCTTCTCTATTATTTAACATTCTCCAACTTTCCTCTTCATCTGTTCACTGCCTTTCCTTTAGTCAGGGTGAATAAATTATAATGTCATCACTGTGATACTGATTATATTCTTACTTGATTGGTCAACCTGAAAAAAAATCAGGGTTCCTGATTGTGTGGAGGCTATCTATGTATAGGTAGTGGCGACTGTCCTTCTCAGGCAAAACAAAAACGGAACAAAAATGGCCAGTTACGGATTATTCAGTTTTCAATGCATTGTAGGTCAATGGAGACTCGACCTAGAGACTTTTCGACCTGCAGCCACCATTCCAATACGGATTAATTCCGTAAGTAGAGGGTCCACTGTATGTTTCTCTCCATGCATGTTAATTTAAGTAGAGTAACATAAACCTTGAAAAAGACCATGGTTGGTGCCATAACTGAAATCTCTGTTCTCATAAAGATCTACATGAATGTTCTTACAAAAATGACATGATTCTTGAGCATACCCTCAGATACTACAGTATTTGAAGTTTTGGCATAGGTGGTCTTTGAATTTCTAAACTGTTTTTGAATGTTATCTCATCTTAAAAAAGAGACTCCCTGCAAGTAAACAAAAAATGAACACAATAATACACTCTTGGAAAGGAGAAATGTTCTGCCTCCTTCTTGCTTTGTTTACTATTTCTTTTGCAAGAAATTTTTCCCAGGGGAGCATGCAAAAGTGTGACACTCCTTATAATATGAGATGTGCCTAGATTTTGTAATATGCACATTGCTGATTGCTACTATTAACTGTCAATATCAGCACAGAATATGGGGGACTGCCCCTTGTTGCAGCACTCAGATGTTATGAAAGTGTCTGCTATATACATGAGGAGAGAGCACGATAGTTTTGCCATAAGAAGATCAACCCATCTGTCAGTGAAGGCTTTCCATGAGATTTTAAAACCTGGTTTTCTGCGGTTTAAAACTGCATGGAAATGGAGAACTCTTTCTTCAATAAGTCACATTCTATGTGTCAAGGGCAATAAAAGCAGCAACAGAGGGGGCAGGCTCGCTTCTCCCTGTTCTCTTGTACAGTACTTTGATAGACACACTTTCATAACATGTTTAGGCCAGTGGATCTCAAATATGGAACCCTGCTGTTGTTGGACTTAGGTGTCCAGAAGCCCCAACCATCATTGGCGGTGGTTGGAGTTTCTGGGCTATATCGTCCCAACAACATTTGGGAATGTTCCTTAGACAGTCATGGAATCTTACCTTGGTTTTCAGGATTTGAATAATTCCAATTATTCAATATGTATGTCTAGTTCTTGGGCAGACCTGTCTCTGAGAATTAGTACCAGAAGCATTACCACATTTGGATTTCATCTCAAATATGAAAAATTTAATACATCTGCTTTTAGTTTATCAACATTATCCATATATTTATCATAATCATCTCCTTTTTTTTACCAGCTTAGAATTTAGTCTGGGCTTGATAAAGGTAGGATGTTCTTTCTGTTCCCAAAATTTATCATCTAGGTAAAATGGAACCAGGCTAAAGGGGATTTTAAAAAAGCAATAGAGGAATATAGTAGGCAGTTTAAGGGCAGAAAGCATACAAAATGTGAGATTAAAATTTCTTCAAATTTGGACTTTTAAAATGTTTTTCTGTTTATTTGTGGTTTTTGCAAATAATACCACAAAGTTGTTTCAGTCCTACAGTCAGAGCAGTATATTAAACAACATAAATACAATTAGTGTGTTTCCTCCAAATACATATTAAAGAGTTAAAATGAAGCTAAACCATGGTGAGCAATCATTATTGATTGACTAGTTTCTGAATGTCCCAAGATTTATGTCCTTATTTATGTCCATATTCAAGATTTATGTCCTTATTGCTGTTCTGTATTCTTTGGGAAATCTAAGATGTTTCATGCTGTTGCTTTGTCATACTATGTCCATTACATTTCAGAGCAAATCACAGCACCACCAGAAGACAAGGCATCTTTTGGTGTTAAGAAATATTAATCTGTTGGTACTTTGCCATCTTAATTTATGTGACTCCAGGCAAGATTGAGAAGCTGTTATAAATGACAGAGAAGTTGGGACAGGTTCGAAAAAATGGCATGGTTAAAATTCTTTATAGGGGCTTCCTCATATGTGAAGTAGGTAGCTGTTATCAGTGTGGTATTCCTTCCATATTTCTTGTTTTACTATTTTGTCTTTTCCATTCCATTCCATTCCAAGTTATATTTCTTTGTGTATAAATCATAGGTAGAGACTAATTTTATCATAGTGAACTTAATGCAGGGTTGGGGAATGTTTGACCCTGTACATATTTGGACTGTAAATGCTGTAGTCCTTTACCACTGGCCATACTAAAGGTGGTTCTCATTCTTGCCATACTGCAATGCTAGAAGCTTTATACCTGACAATCAATTAGATTGGACTGTTAGAAGTCAACAACAATATGCAAAAATAATGGAGCTTGGTTACGTGGTCTTCACATTTAGTACTATTACCGGGGAGGGGACGGGCCCTCTAGCTTATGGGCCTAATTTGACCCATGGAGCTCATCATACAACTGCTGGAGCTTCTTATGTGTTTTTCTCCAACCAATGATCAGAGGCAAAAGCTAGGAAGGCAAATCCTTCCTAGCTATTTAAATAAATTCATTGAAATGACCTCTAGTTTACTGCTTTAGAAGGTTTTGCTTGGCATACAAGCTCTGGTTGGCAGGTTAGCAAGTTTTTGCATGGAACTGGGGTTCTGGTTTGCAGAGTTGAAAGGTTTTGCATGCCCAACTGCTGTTGCAGTGGAGCACATTTGGCAAGATTTATCCCTAGCTCAATCTCTTTGTTTTCGTTCGAGCCTCTGCCTTTAGCCCCACCTATGACTGTCAAGACTGTTTCCAAACTGGAAGATGGCCTGTACAGAAAAGGGTTACCCTCATACTTGTCAGACTAGAACTGAGAAAAGCTAGGTTTAAATGTCTATTCATATTTGAAACCTACTGTGTGACCTTCAGCCAGTCTTTCCTTCATGACTTCCTCACAGGCTTCCATAACACACTCTTGCCTTCTGTATCCTAAAACAAATTAGCTGACCACACAGATCTGCTAGTAAGTCAGTATGGTACAATGTTTATACGTATATCCATACATTTATGGAAAACGTTTCACATGGTGTTGTGAAAAACTTTAGCTCTAGAAAATAATTAGTACACTGCCGTGTGTGTCAGAGTTTTAGTTTGGTTTTTAGTTGACCTGAACAGCTGAAAAGCTAATTCATAGCTTTATTGATTTAGATTATTATATCTATTTGTGGGTTGTTTTTTAACCCTCCTATTTACAAATACTGTAAAAGATATGTGTATACTGCTTCCTAGAGCCAGTTTCCGGAAAAACATTACATCTCGTAACAACTCCAGTACAGCTACTCAGGATTGTGATTTAATTCTAATTTAGTAGTATAAAAATGACTTTGCTGATTAACACAACTGTAAAAATCACCAATATTGACTAACATTGCCAGTATTTACTAATATCTTATGAATGGTCATCCATTCTTACTGATGAATTCTAAGAAACAACAAAGAAATGCATTCTTTTCTATGAAATAATTGAGATCTGAAAAACATTCCAGAGAAATGTTTTTGCCCTATGTCACTGGCTGCATTGACCAGCAGTGTTACTGTATTGAGGAACAAGCGGCATGCTTGATGGATTTATACCATGACCAATTTGAGACTTTCATAATTTTTCTACTCTAGACGAGGAAGTGAATTTTATTCACAAAAGTTTGCATTGAATGCTTGATTTTTAGTAGTCTAAATAAAGGTATCTTCTACTTTTGGATTGTGTAAAAGACCACACTGCTCTCTGTTATTGTTCTGTTCCATTGACTGAGGTGCTCTGATCCAAGGTTTCTCTAGTGCCAATAGCACTGTGAGTCCTAGAAAGGAGTGGAAAAAAACTGAAGGGCATAGAGATTAGAGAGGCATGTCATTATCCAATATAGTATTAAGACTCCTGAACTTGAAAAATATTGTACCCATATTTGAAAGGAAAAATTACAGGTATAATTTACTGGGAAGTTTTCTTAACAAGCCCCACTGAAATGAACTGGATGTATGACAGCTTTATTCACGTCAGTACATGTTTTTGATGGATTTCTTGATTTTGTTTTTTGCATGATGCAGTTTTTTACTTTCCTTTGTGGTTAAAAAGAATTTATTCTTGAGAAACCTTACTCTCTTTCCCTTATCATTCTCTTTTGTTTTATAGCAATGCAAGACTGGAATGTTCAGTACCTCCAGATGCCATAGGGGACATGGGAACCAATGATTTTCTGGAAAAAGAAGTTCATGAACATTTGAGTCATGACTTCATCAACGGTACTACCAATGGCAACGTGGAAGCTGCTAGGAGGTTGGCAAAGCGGCTGTATCATCTGGATCGATTCAAGCGGTCTGATGTAGCAAAGCATTTGGGAAAAAAGTATGCTCTAGCTTTCTGTCTCAGATGTTATTTATATTGTATTGCATGATTAAGAACAGATGAGAGTGAACTTTCTAATAATGTAACCTCCTTTTCTTCTTTCTGTTTAAGCAATGAGTTCAGCAAACTTGTAGCTGAGGAATACCTCAAGTTCTTTGATTTCACAGGCCTCTCTTTGGATCATTCCCTCAGGTATGATGTCATCTCCTAAATAGTTTTTCTTGGGTTTTATCTTCTCCAGTCAAAATTGTATGCATGCTTGTCTTAAAATACATCCTGTCTCTTCACAGTTGATCAAAGACGACCCTCCCTCACCCTCCCAGTACTAAGCTGACTTGCCTTTTTCCGCTCTAGAGTTCCCACTCTATGTGGAGAGTAGGCGTGATGTGGCAGACATGAGCCACATGTTCATTTAAACAGATCTGAGATGAAGTTTCTGTCTGTTTAAAATTAAGTGGTAATAACTTTCCATCCTGTGCTTTTAATTAGAATGTTTTTTTTTTATTTCATGGGCTACAAATCTTATTATTTCCATTCTGGGAGTTCTACCTGACACACAGTCACTTAAATGTGGCTCACTTGGGAGAAAGGCCTCATCTGGGAGGCTCTGAGGCTTAGCTAGGCCTGCTTCACCCAAGCTTCCTGTTCCTGCCCCAGTGCTAGCTGGGAGCTTTCTTTCTGAACAGGAAACTAGGCCTAACCGAGCTTCAAAGGCTGAGGCCTTTCTCCCAGGTGAGTCACATGTAAATATCTACAAAGTGTCTGACTGTTGGGTAGAATTCTCATAACAGAGAATTACAGGATTTAGAAATCAGAAAATTCCATTCCTATCTTTAATGTACACATCTCCCCCCTTGCTCCCTTCTTGTTGTTCCTTTATTTCGTTCACTCTGTGCTCATACATAGTGACTGAAACTCTGTTGTGCAGCTTTATGCTGTGCAACTCAGTTGATGTCATCCAATATGGCTATTTCAGGGGAATTAACACCTTCCTATCCCACCACTGCCCCCAGTTCTGGCAATTCCTAGGGATCCCTTTGCTCCAGGGGAAACCTTTGGGAGCCATAGAATGCCGTGAGAGTCTTTAATTTCTGAAAATCAGTTCAGCTATACAACCTTGATGAATTCTGGACCATAGGGAATTTGCCCTTTCTTTGTTGACTGGACATCCATGAAGCTCCCTTAGCAAGCCTACAGGTGTTTGTGTATGCGTTGGACAGATTTGTGAATGGTTGGTATTGCAGTAGTCTTGATCTAGAGATTAAGAGGGGATGGAAATAACAGCCATTGTAAAAGATACTTGGGGAAGATTAGTGGGCATGGCTGAAAGAATGAGAAGAACTAACAGATGCCTCATTCTAAAAAAGCAAAAACACCTGTCTTAGTTAGCTAGATTTGGAAAGGTATGATTTTAGGATGTGTTTTCTATGTTGGGGGGTCACATTTAAAGCAAGGTTAACATGTAACATAGGGATGGGAAATGCGTGGCTCTCCAGGCATTGCAAGACTGCCATTCCCACTAGCCATAGCCAGTCCACTCATTAATGAAATAATGGAAGTGACAGTCTCAGCAACTTCTGGAGGGCCATATGTTCACCATGCCTGGTCTAGCCAGTTGTGTGTAAGTACAAAGATAATATGACTGCCTTAAGAAAAGTGATATTCACTGTGAATAGCTCCTGTCCCTCTTCCCCAGGATTCTTATGCTCAAGAATAGTTGCAGAGGTTTATATTCCCAGTGTCTCTAAGTTTGTATCTCTCATTGTCTTTAACATATTTATCCTGTTTTTTTAAGTCCAAAGTGGTAGAAATTGATTTTAAGTGGAAAGTGGCTAGAGACACACACAAAATAAGCATGTGATGTGTTTAAACAGAATTTTAAAAAGTGGGATGTTTTCTATGCTGTTCGAAAAACAGTAATTTCATGTTCAAAGCTGTCTCAGCTCTCAGACGGAGCTGTTGTCAATTTCTAGGCATAGTACTAATAATGCTTGACTTCCTTTTAAAAAAACTATACATATATATACTGTATATATATATTTCTTTATAGGATCTTTTTTAAAGCCTTTTCCCTCGTTGGAGAAACTCAGGAAAGAGAGAGAGTTTTAGTTCATTTCTCCAACAGATATCATCACTGTAACCCAAATACTATTTCCACAAAAGGTAATTTATTTTTACTTTATTTGAACAACTCTATTCCACTTTTCCTCAAGCAGAGCCCAAGGTGGTTAATGGCAATACAATTTTAAAACGAAACTCTAATGCAAAAATTAAAAATACAATAATAAAAACATAGCTAATCGTGGCAGGGGTTTTCTTAAAAATGAAAACATTCACAAGAAGCAATTTCCAGCAAAATTAGAGTGCTTTTTCAGCCAAGCTTAAAATGCTGGTGGTCACAATTTGATTTTAGAACACATTGGATAAGATACTGCTGTGATTGCTGCTAAATGATTCCAGTGTTTTGCATTCTAATCAGTATAACATTTAAAATAGAACAAGGAAAATGTGATACATTCCATTTTGTAGGCAACAGTTTAATTAGAAAACACAAATTTCTTAAGGCTATGAGTTTTTATTAAAGAAATGGGAGGTGCTATTATTTTTCCTGTTGCTATTGCGTGGAATGCTTTTCCTTCCCACTTCTATCTCCAGACCTACAGCACATGGCTCCAGATGCCTAGAACAGCCTGTCTTTTTTTTGTGGGGAGTGTAATTTAAAGAACCATGCAGGTGACAGATGTGTGGATGGCTACTATATGTTACTCTTGCTCTTAGGTTTTCCCCTGTAACTCCTCCCACTGAGATGCTTTCCTCCTGGCCAGATTCATATTTGGCTGGATGGAAAGTGCTGGGGAAAATGAACTGTGGCGATGAGAACAGTGAGCAGAGAATAGTTCAGCTTACTGGCTTCTGTGGCCTTTGGCTCTTTAAATTGCAGCTTGTGGTTTTACAGGAGCAGATTATGTTTATAGATGTCTTTCTGTCACTTTGAGAGACTCAGCTACAGTAGGATGCCCCATATCCACTGGAGATTGGTTCCAAGCCCTCCGTGGATATTGAAAACCTCAGATAATAGCAAACACTATTATGTTACTTGTTAGTGAAGAATACATACCATATTTGCCGGCGTACAAGACGACTTTTTTGGCCCCCAAAACATGTCTCTGGTGCTCTCTAGTGGCCAGTTCTAGCAATGCATGTGAAAATAATTTTTCCAGTGTGTGTGCTCCAAACATAGTACCATCCTACATCCTATATATATATATATATACAAATAAAACTGG